GAGGATGTAGATGAGCAAGTACGACGCGACATGCGTGAGGCGGGGGTTGGTTATAAGGAGGGGCAACCTTCTAGGCGGCGCTGTAGAACTTGTGGAAAAGCTGGTCATAACGCGCGAACTTGTCAAGAAGTTATAGATATATCTAGTTCGTCAGATATAGAGAGCGATAATTAATTTAATATATTGTGGTTGATTTATTTAGGTGTAAAGTTCTGTGCCAAGAAAAAGTGATCGACTCGGTGATATGATCGACTCGGTGATAAACCACGTTAGATATATATAACTTCTATAAATATATAGGAAAATAATATTATAATAAGCGAGTTAACCTAGATATAGTAGCTATTTAATAGAATTATCTTTCTCTAAGATAAAAGCGTTATTTACCTATTACTTCTACTAAGGCTAAGATTCCCCGAAAATAAAAGGGGTTAATCTAGGGCCTATAGTATCCTAGATCGTAGGAACTACTATACTTATAAACTAATAAGAACTAAATCAGTAATTCTATAAGCTTTCTCTAAACGATAAGTAGGATAGAGAAAAAGAGAGTCTAAAAGTACAAAAGGTATAAGAAGTTAAAGTAGGAGGCAGAGCCTCCTTCTATACACTCCTCGTGTGGCGCTCGGACCCCTATCCATCTCCAGATTCACGTCAGTGTTTTCGTAGTGAATCCCTTGATATCGACACCCCGTCGGACGAGGAGATACTCGCCCTTGCACATACAATTTTTGACCTTCATTATTAGTCTGTTACTTAAATCAACCTCGATTCTCTAGTGCTGAGCGTCAATACCTAAGTATTTGAATTAGCCTTAACTCTGTCATCCTGATATTCCTGTCAAACACCTCTCTTCTCGCCGGAGAGCACATTATTATACCTCTTAACCCTCCTTCTCAACATAGGGAATATCGACTGACATTGATACCGCACAATAATGTTTCTTTGAGTTACTACGGGAAATGAAAACAAAAAAAATGAATGGCACGAGGTTGAAATTTATATGGAACCAAGTTGATGACATTTGGTGGAATTTGTGACAAAACCCCTTTTCGGCAATAGTCAAGCTGGCATACGAGGTAGAAGATAACAAGTACCCAGCCGATTAATCTTCTTAGCCAATTGGGATTTTCGGGTTTGTATGTTTATGGGATATCTCATAAAGAAATAAAATATCTTTTGAATGACAAAAACACTACTGCAGGCAGAAATGTGTTAATCAATGAAGTTGTAAATAATAGTAGTAGGGGTAAGATAGTTATAGAAAATGCTTGAGCGAATACTTCATCAAAGCTAAGCGAACTAGCACTTGCCGGGTGATTTCTGTAGATAGAAGGAGTAAAATGATGAGCGAGGACGATTGGACGTCAGGCTTATCCACTTTACGCGACCCCAGCCCAAAACGCGCTGAGACGCGTCTCCCCTAGCAGGCCTGTTCCCTGACAATGAATTGATACATTTCTCCCCATCTTCAACACGCTTCCACGCAAACTCTTCTGCAACCACCGATTCATTGAGTTGTGCTCTATCATTTCCCACCTCGGAATTAATTGTTTCCTGTGAATCACAAGTCCCAAGTCCCAAATCCGCCATCATGGGCAAAAATACCCCGGCCGCCACTCCGGCTCGAAAACCGCCGACCCTCAAGAAGGAGGCCTCGAGTACCGGTCAACGAACAATAAACAGCTTCTTCGCGAAGTCGTCGCCTGCACCGGGAAATGGAACTCCGACCCCGACTCCCAACAACGGTGGATTAAAAGTCAATGGCACAGGAAGCGCCGGCAACGCGATGGCAAAACCAAAAGCCACTTCCGCAGTGAAGAAACCCGCATTCAGAAAATCCGCCGTCAAGAGTGCAACACCAGTGCCCAGCAGTGATGCAATGGGTCCTCCCAGTTCCCAAGAGAATGAGAATGGAGGGATTCCAGAGGTGAGTTTCCGACTTTCGCTCCTCTGCGACAACTGCTAAGACATACAGGACGAGGAGACAAACAAGAGTGCCACACATTTCGCCAGCAGTCCGTCGAGAAAGGTACGTGATACCAATGATGATTTCTTCAAATAACTCCTAACATTGATTGTGAAATAGGCCAAAAAACCTATCAGCTATGCCGAATCCGAAGACGATGACGAGGAAGCAATCAATGCAACACTCAAATCACGAAAACGAAGAGTTCCAAAGATAGAAGTATCCGACGCTGAAGAAAATGAGGATGAGTTTGTTGGAGGGCTGGATGGAGCTTTGGATGACGACGGTAGGATCTCTTTCTAGCGATCTAGGAAACCGGGACTAATATATTTCAGATGATGAAATGGATGATTTCGTTGTTGATGATTCCGATGCACCAGCTAAGCCCTCGAAGAAGCGCAAACGACCGACTGCGACAACAAAATCCCGGAAAGTTTCCAGAATGTCCCCACCACCAGCTGCAAAAAGTGACGAGGATGAGGACGATGATGGTGAAACGGAGAGCTCGGGACCATCGACAGCTCAGCAATGGAAATATGATCCCGACAATACACAGCCTCTTTTGCCTAGGTCCAAAGAGAAGGCTAAAACACCAAAGTCATACCAGAAGATCAAGGAGAAGGCACACAAGAGCGAGCCAGAGAAGCGATATCCATGGTTGGCCAATTTGCAAGACATGGATCGCCACCCAATTGGTCATCCAGATTATGATCCACGAACAGTCTATATACCTCCCAACGCAATGGCAAACTTTAGCGCATTTGAGAAGCAATATTGGGAAATCAAGCAAAAGTTTTTCGACACGGTCGTTTTCTTCAAGAAGGGCAAGTTTTATGAACTTTATGAGCATGATGCCACAATTGGCCATCAACTCTTTGATCTCAAGCTTACCGATCGTGTAAATATGCGAATGGTCGGTGTGCCGGAGTCTTCTCTAGATCATTGGGCAAACCAATTTGTTGCAAAAGGTTACAAAATTGCCAGAGTCGATCAAGTCGAGTCGGCTCTTGGGAAGGAGATGCGTGAAGCCGATACAGGCACCAAGAAAGGAAAGCCAAACAAGGCTGATAAAATCATTCGGCGAGAACTTGCGTGCGTTCTGACAAGCGGTACTTTGGTCGAAGGAAGCATGTTGCAAGATGACATGGCAACTTTCTGTGTTGCTATCAAAGAGTCTCTAGTAGATGAATTACCGGCTTTTGGTGTGGCTTTCGTCGATACTGCAACTGGCCAATTCTTCATATCTGAATTTGTAGACGATGTGGATCTTACAAAGTTTGAAACCTTTATCGCACAGATTCGACCTCAAGAACTCCTCTTGGAGAAGTCCGGCATGTCAACAAAGGCTCTACGAATTTTAAAGAACAACACAACTCCAACGACACTTTGGAACCATCTTAAACCTTTAACAGAGTTCTGGACAGCTGATATGGCCCGACGTGAGCTTAACTGTAATAGCTATTTCAGCTCCGATGAGGAGAGTAGCGATGTGTGGCCTAAAGCATTGGAAAAAGCCAAAGATGATGAGCTTCTCATGTCAGCCTTTGGTGCTCTTACGTGTTACCTTCGAACCTTGAAGTTGGAACGCAGTCTTCTTAGCCAGGGCAGCATCACCTGGTATAACCCAATCCAGAAAGGGACAACTCTTGTTCTAGACGGTCAGACACTCATTAACCTTGAAATATTTGCCAATTCCTTCGATGGTGGACCGGAAGGAACTCTTTTTACCTTGCTCAATCGATGCGTGACTCCATTTGGCAAGCGTCTTTTCCGACAATGGGTATGCCATCCTCTTTCCGACGCGAGGAGAATAAATGAACGTCTCGATGCTGTCGAAATGCTCAATGCTGACCGGAGTCTGAGTGACCAATTCATTGGATCCATGACTCGAATGCCTGATCTTGAGCGGCTGATTTCTCGAATCCACGCCGGAATTTGCAAAGCGGATGACTTTGTAAGAGTACTAGATGGATTCGAGCAGATTGAATACACCATGGGTCTTCTTAGTGCTTTCCAGGGTACTAAGGGCATTGTCGATCGTTTGATTAATGCTATGCCAGATCTCGCCAAGTCACTAAAATGGTGGAAGACAGCATTCGACAGAGAGAAAGCCAAAGAGCACAAACTGCTTGTGCCAGAGCGGGGCGTTGAAGGGGAGTTCGATGCAAGTCAGGATGCCATCGAAGAGATCGAGGCGGAACTTGAATCATTCCTAAAAAGTGCCCGTAAGCAGCTCGGAGGAAACACTGCGAAGATCATATTTAAGAATATTGGTAAAGAAGTCTATCAACTTGAAGTGCCCACTTCGATCAAAGTCCCCAAGGATTGGAATATGATGTCTTCTGCAAGCGGGGTCAAGAGATATTACAATGCGGAGTTGAAGGGACTGATTCGACAATTACAAGAAGCCCAAGAAACCCATGGTCAGATTGTCAAACAGGTCGCCAGCAGATTCTATGCAAGATTCGATGAAGACTCTGCTATTTGGGTTCAGGCTGTCAAGGTCATTGCTCAGTTGGATTGTCTCATTAGTCTTGCTGCCGCATCACAGGCCCTTGGTGAACCAAGTTGCAGACCTAAATTCATTGACGCAGAGCGAAGCGTTGTTGAGTTTGAAGAACTTCGACACCCTTGCATGCTGCCAAACGTCACAGATTTTATTCCAAATGACGTAAAGCTTGGAGGCGGTGCTCCAAATATCAATCTTTTAACTGGTGCAAATGCCGCCGGAAAATCTACCATGCTACGAATGGTATGTTCTCATCCACAACACCCCCTTTTCTCATACTAACAAATTTTAGACATGTGTCGCTGTCATCATGGCACAAATAGGATGCTACGTCCCTTGTGTATCAGCAACCCTCACTCCTTGCGATCGCATCATGTCACGTCTAGGTGCCAACGACAATATTTTCGCAGCTCAAAGTACTTTCTTCGTCGAACTTTCTGAGACTAAAAAGATCCTCTCCGAAGCAACTCCCCGCTCACTGGTTATTCTGGACGAGTTGGGTAGAGGAACAAGCTCCTACGACGGTGTAGCAGTCGCCCAGGCAGTCCTCCACCATGTCGCAACCCACATTGGCTGTACCGGCTTCTTCGCGACACACTATCACTCTCTCGCCACCGAATTTGCGGGCCATCCAGAGATTGCGCCCAAGAGAATGCAAATTCACGTCGACGAGGAGAACCGCCAGGTTACCTTTTTGTACAAATTGGAAGACGGTGTTGCTGAAGGCAGTTTCGGTATGCATTGCGCGGCTATGTGTGGGATTCCAAGTAAGGTCATTGATCGTGCCGAGGTGGCGGCTAAAGAGTGGGAACACACCAGTCGGTTAAAGGAGAGTTTGGAGAAGGCGAGAAGTGGGTGTTATATTCCGCTTGGTGTGCAGAGTGATATCTCATGGATGCTGAAGGATGTTGCGGAAGGAGTTGAGGAGAGGGGGTTGGAGGTTTTGATGAAGGCTATTGAGAGTTTGTAAGATGATATTAAGGGGTGGGGTCTGTACGAATATCTTTTTTTCTGGGGAGTGAAAATGGATGGAGAGGAATATTTGGGGTGTATTAGTGATATGGAGGCTTGGTGGTGTTTGTTTTGCTGCTGTTGTGGAGCAACTGCAGCTGGTTAAGAAGAAAGCAGAGAGCATATGTAGTAGCTAGCAATGGCTAAAGAGTATGTACAATTTAAAACGCAAATGAAATGAAATGCAGTGTTTGTGAGTTCTCCTGGCGGTGGGTTCTCTTTTCACTTATTCTATATGCTATCTTTATAGAGGCCAAGAGCGCATGTATAGCGCTCATAATTGTTTGTTACTCTGCTCGTTTTTCTCTCTCCTTACTCTGCTCTTGATCTCCCTTCTACATCAGCTATTCCCATCGGACGACATTATCTTCTCAAACTCTTTCAAGTCACTAGGCCGCCTATCCAACACCTGCTTTCTGGTCCAACCCAAAGACAGATATACAGCTAGTAGCACCACCGCCGTAAATGGGATAGAAAGAGCAAGGAACCACCACCAGGTATGCACAACAGAAAACACAGACCGAGAAGGATCGTCAGAATCGGGTGAAGTCGAGAAGAAACCCATACCGAAGATACTCTGTGAGAAGACCAGATCAGCCGGGCTTGGTGTATGGTAAAGCTTGGAGTGAGAACGTACAGTACAAAGTGAAAGCGGTAAGAAAACTAGACCAAGATACTGAATGGTTTGAAGTGATTGTCTATCACGGTGGGAATTGCGAGCAATGATGGTGCTTTCAGCGGACATATGCTTGGATATTTCAATATCGCGCTGGCTGACAAGCGCTGTACACTTCAGGTTCCGAGGTCAGCATGAACATCTTGTGGAAAGCTAGCTTTGAAGAAAACATACCTCTTGATACCCAACCACCGCTCTCTGCTCATATAGACTCCCATATCTTTCCAGCAGCTCAAGATCATAAACTAACTATTTTAAAACCCCTTGAGGATTGAGCTCAAGATGAGCTTCTTGCCGTTCTTGTTCGCTAACGTGGACTGGAGAATCGGATTTTCCCACGATTTCAGATATTTCAATTAATAGCTGTAAGCTGGCGGGGCATATATTGTAGTCGGTCATGATATTACCCATCTGTCTTGCTATCATGATGAAGCGGCGGGCACCAGTCGTGTACTCCGCCGATGAGGTTCCAAGGTCCAGTTCCTGCACTTTTGTGTTAGAAAATGGCGATTTATACAGTTCATGTTTACTGTGTAGGTAGAAAGAATACAACTAGGAAAAACTACATGCTAGTTCATAAATAGGCGTAGCGAAATTCCCTGGAAAATAGAAGTCGAGTTCATGTAGCAACTCTCCGAAAGTAGCATGAACAATCATCGGGTGTCGTAAAAGATGTCGCTGCTGTACACCACTATCACACATGCTAACTAGCTTCTCGCGAAGGTCCTGTGGACAATGTAAGGCCACGATTGTAGTCTCGCCAGACTGCATATCGCGACCTGTCCAGATAATCATTTTTCGCCAATCCAGAACTCGCTTCGTGAGGTCGCCGGGACTTGCTGCAGTAGATTGACTCCGGATGATATGAGAGTAGAGATATTGTAGACGTATCAATTTCCCGGATTCGTCATCGTATTCTAGACGTTGTGAAGGCTGCTTTTGCATGTGTTTGAGACCAGCAAACCCTGAGCAGATCTTGAAGCGAGTGAGTAAATGTGTAAAGCCAGCGGGCAAGAGTTGCAACTTGTCTTTCTACTGCTGAGAATCTGGTATGAATCTGTTCATCACCTCAGCTTAATTATATTGTATTTGACCTTCTTGCTTTATCTTACATTACACTAAGGCACACGTCTTCAAAAAGCAGAGTCTGTTTATGCTTTGAAAGTATCGGTGTTTCTACGTGGGGACCCAGAGATCAGGACATACCTTGGTATGAGACGAATGCCTCATCTTCCATTCTTTGCCTTGTAGAAGTTTCCCGTCCAACTTCGAATACTTCAACATTGGTCCAGTGCGACAGGTACTGATTCTTTTGTCGTAGAATGTCATCACGATTCATGGAATAGAGGATTCGATCAATTTGGTCGCCAGCGCTATTCGTCATTCATCTAGATTTATCCAATGTGAAGAGTGATCAAAGGTACCTTTTTATGGTTCGCACGTACGACTGCTGCGGCAGGGGCGGCCCACATAGCCCCAAATGAGAAAAAGAAAGGAATATAAAACCTCTTCTTTTGAGGCCTAGACCACATCAGAACGAAGCTGCCTTGGAAATTTGGCATTATCGTAACTATGAATAAGAGATAGTGGTTACAGTGAATACCATATACCTGTATTCACCACATATTTACATGCAAAACAAACGAGGCCCTGGATGCTGCAAAAGTCTTTTCATCCAGTATTTAGTCTATTTCAACAGCCTATTTCAATGGGAAGAACCCCAACATCTAAGTAGGTAGTAAGTTTTTCTTATTAATGGAATCAAATATTTGCGACTAAAAAGATATGGAGACATCTTTGCGAAAGGGAGTCAGATGTCCCGTATGGCGCCGTAAGAGGGCAGTTTTAACGTGATCTGGTATATAACATAACAGCGTCATAGTTGGACTTTCCCTAGTTCCTTTGATGGCCAACGAAATATACTAGAAAGTGTTTTTCTCGTGCTTGTTCTACAAGGGGGTTGAAAACATATTCACATGACTGAACAACGCGTTTGGGGTGAGAGAATTAATTGCCCCCGCTTAGCTACTCTACTAATTCAATTGCAAGAAACTAAGAACTAGATAGCATGTTAACCTCCTCATAGCTCCATTGGAAAAGGCCCTGTAGTAGGTGTGGCAAAAATCTTATGATCAGCAACGAAGAGACCAATATTAATCGACAGTGACTTTTGGCACCAGAGGGACAGTCAACATCTGTGTAACGCTTTTCCCCACCCACAATTCAGTAGAGACTAACCATTGTTCCACCTAAACCTCAACTTAAGGCTCAAGTCAAGGATAAGACTAACCCGCATAGACAAGCCTAGAATTTGGTGTAATTGATCTAAGCATACCTCTCGTGTATTGGCAACCATCACCCGCTTCCAGAATACCTAAAGGATAGTACCATCGTAGGTTTCGACACTTCAAACCATTTTTTAGTCTTATGTATTTGCAGTAGATCATAAGTTATGTTGCCACTGTTAGCCGGATGAAGATGAATTTTCCATCTATTTAGAGGCCATCCAGTAGCCTTTTCCCGGCAATATAGGCCAATCCCATACTCCTAAGCAGTTTCCTTTAAATTTGGCATTGCCTCTTTAGCGCTAATAGTTAGTTTAAAAGATTCATTAACCTGAGCCAATGTTATGGCCAGCTAGCTTGGGGTGCATAATTTTTGGACATGCTCTATGGCGGCGCTTTAGAGAAAACGTTCGAAATATTGTATAGAGACTCTGCGGCCATCTCAGGCTTGTCTGGCTGTCGCCAACACCGATTCGTGATTATTTTCTGTTCTTTAGCCTCCCATGCGTCTGAACACTTCTTTATTCCACGATGGAGAGTGAGCAAGATAGATAGTGTCAAGTTCAGGTATGATGTAGGTCTGGAATACAAGCTTCCGATTTTCGAGGTACAGAGAGCAGGACTCGCTGCAGATCCGAAGAAAATGAGAAGGCCAGGGGGTAGTAAAAACGATTTTCGATTCAGAGGGGTGATGCTAGATACAATAAATGCTAGGCTCCTCCAGGTAGGCCATGGCCAGCTTCCAGATCATAATTCTTAGTTCCGCAGGAAGCTCTGTGAAAGGGTGAAATATTACTTTGCTCAAACTTGCTTCTGTGTAGTTCGCATACTACTTGTAGTAGGCCATGCCTTCCTCAAAGTATGCAAGGCGGCGCTCTCTTGATTCTGGTGTTGAGTGGGGACCTTCCGCCATTTCTGTATCGAACAACTTGCGTTCAAGGCGCGCAATTTCCTTTCTAACAAAGTCATCGCGACTTAGTATTACAGCTTTTAAAGTACTAATATCCATCTTAGTTGTATAGTAGCGGTACCACAGGGATAGGGATTAGAGGTAGAGGTAGAGGGTAGTAGGAGTTTAAGAGAGCGGGTTTTGAGATTAATAGATGATTTTTAGACAAAGGACATATATAAGCTAACCGCATATAAAGTGACTATACAGACTTATATTTACGTCAATCTTATATAGTTTGGTTTGTTTCATTCACCTATTATGTGATTAATTAAAATATTACTTCAATAACCTGTGTGACGGAGCTGGATTTCATTTGACAGGATTTCATTCGCTTGGCCAAGCACGTGACGAGACTTGGCATTGGAACGACTTAAATAACTTCGCTCCTTTCAGATTCTCTTCTCTCTTTAGTTTGATTTCTTCGTACCTACGGTTTTAGTTCTAGCAATTGATTCAAAAGCTGTATACACTTTATCCTTTGTTGGCATCCGTGACAACCTGTGCCGTAGAACTTTTAATATGTTCTTATTTGCTTTATCAACTAAATTGGACAGCAACTCTGGCTATAATTAATTAAATCCTCTAAAATACTATTACTTAAGACGATTCTTTCTTTGTTGAAAATCACATTAGTGCGATAGGTGAAGGTTCGAATACAACTTACCAATTCTATAATCTATAAATAGAATGTATCAGTCCTGTACTAGCCAAAGTTCTGTTAAACTCTGAATGTTTAGTGATATGAACGTCGATGGATTTGTCTGCCAACCTTATGACCGAAACGAACCTTCGTTTTCGGTGTTTAGAGCTCCAATATATGTTTGAGGCTTTTAAGCAGGAGACTTTACAAATCACCCTTGTTGTATTAATTTGTAGGTGTGTTGCTGAATAAGGTTCTGAGATGGGAAATTGGTGGGGCAGCTGGAATTTGGTTCCTGGATTAGTGATCAAGATTTTGGTAAGAGTCTCCCTTACCTAACCATCAAATGGCTTCGGATAACAGTCTGACTACATCTTTGGAGAACAAATATTTGTTATTGTCGGCGTTAGAGATTATCTAAAATTTGAGAGGCGGTCAATTACATGGTCATCATGCATATTTTAGGACTTGATTGATATGAAGTTGTTCAGGTCTTGTGTCCATAAAGGGGAGAGTTCAGCCTAGAAGAAATTTCATCATCACACTCAAACAGTCTCCTTCTTATTGAGAATTGACTCGAATACCTAATCATGTTTTCTCTCCCGATCCTCACAGCACTCTTCACTCTCGTCGCCTCAACCCCTCACCCGTCTTCCCTGAAATGGGACGTCTACCTTCAACCATCTGTCCCAGTCGTTTCTCCTCCCGGTCTACCTTCGAATCTAAGCTTCTCCCCAACAGCTTTCACACTCGTTCATTCCGCCCACCATGCAATCCTAATCGACGCTCCAGTCACTTTCGCCACAACCGAGAAACTCGCTGATTGGATCAAAACTAAGATCCAAGGCAAGAAACTAACACACATCTACATAACTCACGGCCACGGAGACCATTTCTTTGGTCTTCCAATCCTACAACAAAAGTTTCCAGGCGTGAAAGCTGTTACCACTCAACAAACCATTGATCACATGAATCAACAGCTTTTTCCGGATGTATTTGCAAGCTTCTGGGATTCCCTTTTCCCCGGTGCCATTCCTATACCTACAAATAGAACTGAGGTTATCGACGCTTTACCGGAGAATGGAATATTTTACATTGATGATACAGAGAAGAAACACGTGGTTCAAGCTGTGAAGGTTGGACAGACGGATACCTACAATACTACCATTCTCCATATCCCATCGTTGGATATGGTGGTGACAGGCGATGCAGTTTATGGCTCTTGTTTCCAATACCTTGTTGACACGAACACGACTGCACTAAGGAGTCAGTGGCTGAGTGCTTTGGATGAGATTGAAGGATTGAAGCCGAAGATTGTGGTACCAAGTCATATGCAGGAGGGCGATGGGTTCGGACCTAATCATCTGAAGGATACAAGGGGATATATAGATAATTGGGAAAGAGAAGCTGATAGGGTTGGAAAAAAGGGAGGTGCAAAGGGGAGGGAGGAGTTGGTTGAGAGAGTCAGGAAGCAATATCCTGAGAGGATTGGAGACTTTATTCTGGAGGTCAGTGTGCAGGAGGTCTTTACTCAAAATTGATTTGATGGGATGAGTTCTAGAAAAAGAGGATGGAGTATCCGCGGTGGAATTGGGGCAATCTGGGGTAGATAGGAGCCTCCGATTTATCATTCTGGTTGTAATTTGTAGGATTCCTTGCTTTCTTACTTTATAGAGGATAAAGACTAGCTACATGATTGATTTGAGATTGGAATAGAAACAGGCCTATACTGAATAGAGGAAACTTTATTGAGCCAATATTTACTTGACATTTTCTTCAACTTCCTGTTTCAGCTTGCCCCTAATTGAGAGATTTAAGAACATGATCCATCTGCATTACCTCCAGGTACCTGCCCAACAGGACACCAAGCCCACCAGCAATGAGCAGTCCCAGATTTAGCATCACACTTCGCGAATTCTGGTGGCGGCAAATTTTTTCGACCAGCAGCACTAAGCAAGCACGCGTGTCCAACTTGCATACAATCCGCTGGACTCTGCCAATTTTCTCCACCCAAAAACCACCGATAACCAGCACAGGCAACATTATCAAACCAAGTGCCTGCAGAGATGCCAGAAATCAGTACTTGACTTAGGAAATAGCATGAAGAGATGCGCTTACCAGCGTTGATCTGACTTGTCATGCAATCTCTTATGGAGTTGGCATTTACATCTACGATTCCTTTTCCAATAAAACATTGTGTAGTTGCAGCGCGAGCCAGAAAGGGATTTTGAGGTGATTGGTCCAAGGGTGAGGACTTGGCGAGAATAGCAAGAGCCGGGAGGATAATGAATTGGAAACGCATTTTGGAAGCGAGTGTGAGTGAGAATTTCTTTCTTTTAATCTGACAAGAAACGCAGAAAAAGTGAGGGAATTTATGTCCTTTTATATTAACACTTGAGCTCTACAGAACACCCTCGAGCGATTACGCTACGCCGCTAAAAAGGTGCTTTATCTCGTATTCGCGGCATAGATGGAGAAGTTGGGGGCTTCCCCTGAATCTTGCAGTCATCAGGATTAAATACAGGGTAAAATCTGCCAAGACCTGATCCTTCCAAGGCAGAAATGTGTGAGTGCGATTCGCACCAAGTGATTTTCCGTCTCGGACAATACCTGTGTATTTCAAGACTACTAAGAAGATCAACTGAACAGCAATATTGATTCTTTTCTACGAGCTAATTCCAAGAATATTCAATGTGCGAGGTGAAATTGCTCATTTCTAGCATCTATATGGGTTTGATAATTTCACTTTAAGATGGAAAAGTGAGCTCTATAAGTCCATATAGTACGTTGCCAAATCTCTTAGGCCCAATTCTGAATGTGGCAGAAGCAACCTTGAAGTAATTCCAAACGATCTAAAAATACGACTTACTCCAGTCAAACACTGAAATGATTTTATACTAAACGGCAAGAACGATCTAACTCCACCTGGGCAGTTTCCATATGGGAGAAGAATTTGGTTAAACCTGTGAAGGTTATACTTTTTAAGCTACGAATACTACAGCCCCTTCTCAAAAGTAGGCAGAAACAAGGGTTTTATACAAAGAGTAGCACTTTTAGCTTAACGTATAGTCTTAGGGTAGTACGCTACTTCTATGCTTTCTAACCCGAACCCTAAGGCTAAATGATCGAAGTATAAAGCTGAAAAGTATCCTAGAACGCTATATAATAGTAGAAATGTAAGAACAAACTACTGAAATGCACAAAACTGCACAAAGGGGTCAGAATGTACATAAAACTTTCTTACTACTTTTGCGAAGGGGCTGTAGAATACTAAGCCATGAAGGCGATGTTTTTACACACCTGATGTATTTTCTTTTTATATAATAGGGCGATATCTGTCTGGTCAATTAGAGAAATGGAAGTGAATTTTTATATGGTATACTAAGACCACTAAAAGGTAGTCAACTTAAAAAGAAATGCTAATGCATGCTCTAATTAGATAAGAAAGTTAATAAAAGTTAAGAAAAGACTTATCTAAATACTCTCTGAAATAACAAGAGCCTATTAGTTTGATTATTTAAATAACCTAGTATAATTTAATTTACTCTATAACTTATAAGTTAACGGAAGATAATAAGTTGTTAAGAGAAAACAATTTTCTACTCTGAAGACAGAAGTAGTAAGTGAAATAATAAGCTATAGCCTATAAACAAAAACTCCTGTTATAGACGCGTTTGTACTAGTATTACTTAAACGCTCTATATTCCATACTATTATAGTATTTAAATTCACTGCCATTTACTACAGCTTTAGAGAGTAATACTACTAGAGCTTTTTTAGAAGGCGTTGACCTGGTTCACTTAACATAGCCAGGTCAACACTTAACATATCTGCTATCACAATTAGTTATAAAGAGCTTTCAGGGATAGTAATTGGTAGTTATCATCATAGGCTTTGTCAGAATCAATTAACCTTGCGTTTTCAACCAGACGATGGGTACTCTGAGAGGCTATGCGAATATCTGTGCTCCTGAAGAGTCTGCCATGAATTATTTCAAAGATCTAAAGAAATTACTTCTTTGCCCTGTTAGCGAAATTATTTCTGATTTTGCAGTCCAAAAGAAGAACATTGGAGAATAGAATAGAATAGAACTTGTGTATGGCATGAGAGTATATAGAATGAGGGAGAACTTTGCTATCAAATGGTGTAGTCAGTGAATTGGGGAACTTCTAATGTCTTGAGATAAAGGTGAATAGAAGCTTAGAATCGGGGCGAAGTAGCATAGCAAAGGAGGCTTAGTCCCCGTTGGTAACCGACATATCTTCTGCGACAACAAAGCGCTCTCATCTTTTAGCCGACAATCTTGTCGTGCTTCCATGCCATCAAAAATACCCAGCACCATTATCTCAACTTGCAAAGACACCCAAGAAGCGCAACCATGTGCATTGAATGGAGAGCCATATACCAATGGGAAAATGTTATGCCAGACCATCAGTGCTACGAGCATAAAGTCAAGAGCTGCGCTGTAAAAGTCGCCAATCCAGACAGAGATTGCGGCAGATACGAGATCATCCACCAGACCATGCTCCGACCCTGTCCGATCTGTTTGCTCGACAGCCTCAAACGCCCCAATGATGATGTCTTTCGCCAATTCCTCGCAGTGGAAGCTCAATTTGCCATAGTTTACGGGGACGAGTGTCGTACAGCGGCGGACCATCTCTTCAATTATTACAGCCTCCACAAAGAGAGTGCGAAAATGGAAAAAACGTCTTGGGTGCACACGATTCCAAAAGCCCAGGACGTACAGGACTGCATCACAGAGTTTAGTGAAGCTCCTTCCTACGCCATCACTATCGACCAAGCCTTGAAGGAGCCAATGGGCTGCGAGTCTGCATACCACATAAACATAAGACTACTAACCTTTCTGCTTTTCGAGCGTTTGCGGGAACTTTGGGGTAAGCCCCCTTTGGCAGAAGACGACAAGGAGCACAGTGCTGGCGACAAAAACAAGAAGAATGACCATGGAGCTGAGGAACACGGAGAGATGCTGGAGGTCGAGGATGTGACTGCTTTTTGGGCAAGCGGGACAATGATCGACCATGTGAACTTTTATCTGGGGGTACAGAGCACCTTAGTCACGGCAGAGAGGGAATTGTGGTTCTATACATACGAAGTAAATCCAAGGTTGTACCGTAGGATTAGCGATGGAATATGGTCACACTTTGGAAGTGTTTGGAGAAGGGTCTTGTACATTTCGGAGGTTGTCACGCTCTCTGATTTAGATGCCAACCATCGACAATGCGGGATTTGTCTTGAGGAGTACACCAATGAGAGCGAGATCTTCAAGTTGCCATGCGGACACGCTTGGGACAAAGAGTGCTTGCGAAAATGGTTGGAGTCTGACTGGGAAAGAAAGGGCTATAACCCAAACCTTTTGGAAGAAGAGGAAGAAGAGGGCGAGGAAGGATTCGAAGAGGACGAAGAATTCGAAGATGACGATCCAGAATATTCTGGGGACGAAGATGAAGCAGATGGAAGGGAAGAGGACGAAAACGAAGAAGAGTTTGAGGATGAGGTTCTCCACAATGGCCAAAACCCAGAAGACGTTGAGGAGACAGTTGAGACGCACCTTCCATTAAAAGTTTGTTCCCTCTGTAACAAAGATTTTGGCATTTCTGGACCGAATTGCGGCCCTTTCACAAAGATATTCCTCGAGACTTTGTTTGCGGGTGAGGATATTGATGCACATGCGGTTGAAATTAGAGAGGAGCTCAAACGACATCTTACACCAGGGTGGTCGGATATCTCAGTTGAACAATTGTTTACTCCTGATGATGGAGATGCATGAGAAGCTCTGATCTTAATTAGCCTTTGTTTACAATGTCTAATTATACAATCAATACAGTACTTTTAAAAAGTATGAAATCAACAAATTTGATGACCTCGGGAGCAATCATGTGAGGCTTCAAACGAGTGGACACTCGCACTAGGAAAGTTGATAGGAATAGATTTAACGGTTATCCGAGCGGGGAAATATGGATGGATTGAGCAGATTCTAATTTGCTGTGTTTGTCTTATAGCAGCAGCCAATCCGTCTTGAAATGAAGCTTGTGATGTAGATGAGGAAGGCTTGGTCGGGTATCGGGCTATATCAAATCTAAGGGGGGCTCGGCATACTAGTACCGCGCGGCTAAATCCACGCTTAACCGTGATAAACCCCGACCCCTCAGAGATAGCCCCCCTGAGCAAGCTCCAGCCGTAATCTCCCCGCATCTCCCATCAACCCCTCCATCTACAGTACAGGTTCATCAACATTAAGGCAGACAACCGTCGGCTTCTCATCATGACGACTCGAACTGCCTCACATGCTGGATCATGGTATAAGAGTGGCCGTTCTCAGCTAGCAAACGAGCTCCAGCAGTACCTGGATGCTGTCCCTGCTACCATTGAAGACCAGCCAGTACCGGTGCCTGGGGCCCGAATCATTATTGCACCGTGAGTGTCTGGTTGCATCGTGGTTTTCTTTTCAACCCCTCATTTCCTCCGCTTTAGTATTGCTATCATCGACATTACTAACCTTTTGTAGTCATGCCGGATATGACTACTGCGCCGATAATGCCGCATGGGCATACAAATCTCTCGACCTGTCGAATGCAAAACGCATCTTTCTTCTTGGTCCCTCCCATACCATGCACCTCTCAGGCTGTGCACTCACCAGTCATTCGAAATATGCCACTCCATTTGGAGATCTGATTGTGGATAAAGCAACGGTTGACGAGCTCCAGGCGACGGGCAAGTTTGACACCATGCCACTTGATGTGGATGAGAATGAGCACAGTATGGAAATGCACTGCCCGTACATCTACACTATGATATCTCAGCACCTCAAATCACCCGCGGACCACCCGACTCTGATACCTGTCATGGTCGGAAACACCAGAGCAGAGACTGAGGTTGAGTTTGGAAAGCTATTTTCATCATATCTTGCGGATCCAACCTCAGTCTTCGTCGTATCCTCAGATTTCTGCCACTGGGGCAGCCGATTCCAATATACGTATTACATACCAAACGGCTCTACAACAGAAGGAGGCGGCATTAGTCTCCGAAGAAGAGACCCGGTGCCAACTGACCCACCAATCCATGAAAGCATCGAGAAGCTAGACCGTATGTCGATGAAATCGATCGAAGCCGGCACACACAAAAGCTTCCTGAAAAACATGCGGGAGACTGAAAACACAGTTTGCGGAAGACATCCAATTGGAGTCGTCTTGGCCGCTATCGACCAATTGAGGGAAGTTGGAAAGGTGCCTGCGGATCGCGGATACTTCAAATTTACCCAATACTCCAGAAGTAGCGACCCGGTGGATGCATCAGACTCTTCTGTGAGCTATGCTAGTGCGTATGCCATCATCTGATGGGCAGAAAGGGGCGGTGGGTCCAGATCTTCTACACATGCAGCATTCTATAAATTGAATGTTGATATATTTTCTTCTCTTGCTATGATAAGTGCCTGCACATGTTGCTTTCACTGTTCCTCTCGAGTATATTTGGTGACGGTCTTACATATTTTGGACTACTCAATTCGGAAGTGAAATTCAACCCCGACGCACTACAGCGGAGAAACGGGATCTCAATGGTCGAGCCCTCGAGCTGGAGTTCGGTCACAATTCCATGACACTCGTGCCGCCGAGGCCGGATTGACGAGAAATTCCTGTTTCTAATCATGCTGCCAGCCGGCGTTGTGGCATGAACGATCTTGCCAAATGTGCAATGACGATCAGCTTTCGCTAAGGTACTGCGTTCGCGTTGACTTGGCTGCAGCTTTCAGTTTTGGGGTAAGGGCCCTTTTCATTGGTCAGATTCTTATGGCTGTCCTTTCCCATTTCTTTTCTCTCAAATTCAATGACAATTTGGCAATTACGAGATGTAGTAACACCAACCTCACTTGGGTTCTGATGAATGTTTCCAAGTTTTATGTTGGAGAGCTGAGCACTTTTGTGTGTTTCTCGGAGCATAACCATCGACATACAGCATATGTTGTACAACTCGTAGGAGTATATTTATTTCTGGGTATTTTCCAGTCACCTGCATTTCATTCAACATGTTTTACAGAGTACAGATTGCTGATTTCCACGTATTGGGGTAACGACACACACATCGGCCAGCAATTTCTTATATCACGAGCTTCTGTAAGTTTCCTAATATGATGCTCACTCGAGCGCTTTACGAGCTGGTTGCCGTTTTAGTTGTTCCGCGAGGGTCGTGGTAAGTGACCGTCTCCCAGGACTTTGCTCCGCTTTTGCTCCTGAAAATTTGATAGGCAAGACGACTTTTTTTTTGTTTATCTACACTTGTATCATCTGGCAGTCACACGCTACCTTCTCATTCGTTCTCTCGATGCGAGTATTCACGATTCTCACAAATCTTATATCCTTGTCGTTCTTTCCAGTGCTTCGATAGTCGCAGAAAAGTGAAGCCACCAACTGGCTCTCATTCACCCCCCCACCCAAACCGCTAGGGTGTGATCACCACGTACATGCACAGCAGTGGAAGGTTCCACTGGGACTCACACTATGGAAGTGTTTCCGTGGGTCTTCGGGCCCGCGGCGTTGGAAGTATTTGAGTTTTTGCATGTAGTAGACTCAAGCTTTGGGGGTTCAGGGATTCCCTTATCGAAGCGGGGGGCTCATAGGGCGTTCGCATCAAGCTTCATTGGCGAAATTGGCATCAGGGCCCACATCATCCCTCGCGACTGGTTGTGTCTTCCTGCTCCGGTCAATTGGATTGATTGCAGGGCGACCATGCGTGGAAGCAATCGAAGAAGAATTTCTGAGATGCCGTTATATACAGGGTATAATCATGGACCAATACCAACACCATACCGGTATTGAGGGGGTTGAATGAGGTTGAGTGTGACCTAGGAGCGGGGATCGGAAGCGAGAAAGATAAGAAGTTGTAGACTAGACCACATCCGAGGATGGCCCATCTAACCGTCTAACCGTTTCTCTCCCCTGCACCAGTGCCTGCAGATAGAGCTAGCCAATCAGAGAGTTTTATATATTAGATCTACGAGGGAACGGTGGTGGGCGTTGTCTTCATCCGGCAGGTAAAATAGCGCCGCTGCGGATCGAGCTGTGGTGGCTTTCGTCGGGTCATGGAAATGGTGTCGATGCGTAGAGGGACACATACAGTACTGTGAGATGCAGGTATGCATTTTTGCCTCTCGGTTGGTTGAAAGATCTGAAGTGGAAGGTGCGTCTGGCTTCACTGCCTGTAGTAGTATAGTAGTATACCTGCCCAGGTGCAGGTGGTGGTACGAGAGTGGGGCAGTGACAGCCAGAGTGGGGATGCTAGTAGGTACCTACATACCTAGAAACTGTACTGTAGCTGCCCCGGTCTAGGTGCGCGAGGTACGATATGTAGCTATCAGAGTTCCCGTCTTCACTTACCCTTCCTCGCTACCTACCTCGGTTCCTGCCCTCCTGCCCTCTTATCTGCACTTGCCTCCAATTGATTAACTGTTATCCGTATCTCCACACGGCGCGGTGGCGACAAAGGTGGACTATAAGCTGGCCTCGCTGGCCTCCTCGACTGCGAGTTGTCCACCTCATCTTCAACTTCTCGTGGAACACGTCCATCTGAATTGGACATCGCCAATATGCCCTTCGGATTGTTCAAGCGAAAGGAGCACGCTGCGGCCGCTCCAGCAACAGACTCAGCTGTCGCATCGAGTCTTGAAGGGTAAGTGATGTTGCGTGACGTTTGCGTTGAAGCGCAGATTTAGGTTCACTTTTGCTCATGACACTTCTCACAGCTCTGATCCAACGGCAGTCACGATTCAAGCAGAACTCAAGAACTTCCAGGCCGAGCACAAATGGGACCCCAATCTACCCGAGGAGGAGCGCGTGGCCATTGACCAAGCACTTGAAGGCGGTGATATCGAAAAGAAAGCTGCTGTCGAGGTCCATTTGCTCGAGGAAGACTCGCCATACCCCGAGGTTCGAGCGGCCGTGAGAAACTACGATGAAGATGTTCCAGCCAATACCTTGCGCGTATGTTCCCCCAATTGACTTCCAAATCTGAAGTCAACTGACCAATCTCAAAGGCCTGGATGATTGGAATGTTATGGACCACCATGTGAACTGCCCCCCTTTTCCCTCTTGCAATATTCACTTCATCCATATATATCGGCTCGGGCCATGCCGAAATGCAAAAGCTGATGATGGTGCTTTTAGTGGATCTGCGATCAATATGTTGTTTTCTCTACGAAACCCATCCATTGCCCTAACTCCAGTTGTGACTCTGCTTCTCTCTTATCCTTTTGGTGTCGCTTGGGCATATGGTAAGTTTTCAACGTGCATCTGCTCTCACTTCGATCAGGGAACTGGAAAGTTTGAAGTTTCAGTGAGCTAATCAATCACTAGCTATGCCAAGAAGAAAGTTCAGAACATTTGGTTACACCTGGACACTTAACAATGGACCTTTTAATCAAAAAGAGCATGCCTTGATTGTGATCATGGCCAATGCTTCTTTTGGAGGTACCTTCGCTTATTCAACCGATGTCTTACTTGCCCAGGAAGTCTATTGTATGTTTACTTTCCTGACCAATGAGCGTTCACTATGCTTACTCATATTTTCGCAGACGGTCAACGCTTTGGTTGGGGTTATCAATTACTTCTAACCATCACCTGCCAAATGCTTGGCCTCGGTCTTGCAGGTCTGACAAGAAAGTTCCTGGTAGAACCTGCTGCAATGATATGGCCATCAAACTTGGTAAGAAGGCCCTTCCATGTGAAATTTACATGTATTAATTTGATTTTAGATCACCACGACAATGTTTGAAACCATTCACACGAAAAAGACCCCAGATAAGCTACAACTTAGCGGTTGGAAAATGGGTCGTTATAAGTGGTTCCTCATTCTCATGAGTGCCATATTTGTTTGGGAATGGTTTCCACTCTGGATCACCCCTTTCCTTGCAACTTTCACCTTTGCATGCTGGGCTGCCCCAAACAATGTTGTTGTCAACCAAATATTTGGCGGTCAAACGGGATTGGGTCTCATCCCTATCACTTTCGACTGGAGTGTCATTACAGCATTCGTCTTGTCCCCGCTGGTTTACCCCTTCCATGCTATTGCCAACACTATGATTGGAGTCTTTATTTTCTTCGTCGTAGCGGCCCTAGGAATTCATTTCAACGGAGCTCTGTGCGTATTATCTTTTTCTTTAAAATAAAATGAAAAACAGAACTAATTTTCTTAGCTACTCCGACTACCTTCCCATGTCAACCGGTGGAAGTTTCGACAACACAGGCGCAGCTTACAACGTATCCAAGATATTGACACCAGAATACACACTCGACCCGGTCAAGTACTCCGAATATTCGCCCTTGTTCCTGTCCACCACTTTCGCTCTTGCATATGGTTGTTCTTTTGCTAGTATCATTGCGGTTGTGGTCCATACATACCTTTATCACGGAACTGAGATTTGGCACAAGTTCAAGGCCAGTCGGGAGGAGGGTGCAGACATTCACATGAAGTTGATTATGAAATACAAGGAAGCCCCTTGGTGGTGGTAAGTTGCCTTTATTTACGAACCTTCTCTACATATTTTGGTTGTGATCTTGCTGACCACCTCTTAGGTATTTCGTTAGTTTTATCGTCATGTTGGCATTGGGTTTCACCACCACTCTAGCTTACGATACTCATCTCCCTTGGTGGGCATTCATTATATCTTTGCTTATTGCCGGTTTCTTTTACATTCCAATTGGAATCGTACAAGCAACCGCAAACGTACAGCTGGGATTGAACGGTTAGTATAATAGCTCCCTTGACTTTCATTGTTAATGCTAAAAGTCATTTCCTCTAGTCATCACTGAGTTCATCATTGGTTACATGGTTCCCGGGTACGTTAAGATTCTCTCTCTGTCGAGAATCTTTCTGAGTAAATTCTAATTCGCAATCCAGAAAACCGCTTGCAATGATGATGTTCAAAATGTATGGTTATATCACCTGCTACCAAGGTCTCTACTTCACCCAGGATCTCAAACTAGCACACTACATGAAAGTTCCGCAGCGTGTAACATTCTGGGCTATGTTCACAGCCACTCTATGGTCCTGCTTCGTTCAAATTGCTGTCCTAAACTGGGCACTCGGCTCTATCGACGAAGTCTGTACCCCAGATCAACCAAACAATTACAGTTGCCCCAACGCCCATGTTTTCTTCACTGCATCCATCATTTGGGGTGTCATCGGTCCAGACAGAATCTTCGGCTCCAAGGGAATTTACAACCCTATGATGTACTTCTTCATCCTTGGTCTCGGCTCCCCAATTATCGTCTGGCTCCTCGCAAAGAAATTCCCCCGTTCTCCTCTCCGTTACGTTAGCACACCTATCATCTTCGGAGGAACCGCCTACATTCCACCTGCGACCATCTTGACCTATGGCTCATGGGGATTCATCGGCACCATGTTCAACAAGCTGATCAAGGGACGCCATCCAGGCTGGTGGGCAGAATACAACTACATTACCAGTGCTGCTCTTGATAGCGGTACTATCATTTGCATCCTCTTCATCTTCTTTGTGTTGCAGCTGCCTAACAAGGTGACTGCACCCGAGTGGTGGGGTGGATTTGGGGGAGGATACCAGAACAACGGGGACTGGAATGCGGTGGTCAAGACCGTTTTAACGAATGGTACATTTGGACCTACCTCGTGGTCCTAGGTTTATGTTTCAAGATGGGCGGGGGATGATTTGTATGAAGTATGATGGAATGAATATGGGTGGCTTGTTCTTTCTTTTTCCTACTAGCTTCAGGGATTCAAGATTACTTGCTTGTTAATTGCTATGCCGTGGGTTTATACAGCTCGTAACAGGTCTTGAAGATGAGCTTTGGTCACTAATTACAATCTACAATTGCTTGCTGCATTCCATCGCTGATACGAATGCCTCTTTTTTTCTTGGTGATATGAATGTGAATAACTTATTCGTATTATGGTGTTTTCAGAGACATGAGACTTGAAGGATGTACTGTCATGAAGCTCATATACCTCACGTCTACTACTTGGCAATTGGTCCGGTGTCGATAGTGGGTTCTTTTTATACAAGTAACCACTACCTATAACTCTACCTATATTTATTAAGGGGATAACATTAGAAGCTCTTAATATAATACTAAGATTATAGTTCTATAGTACTAATAAGGGACGCTTTAGAAAAGTGTTTCTACTTCCGTCTACCTAAACTCCACATCTCCCCAAACCTGGACCCTCTACTCTCCGCCAGCCTCCGGGGAATACCATCTTCTATAATCTCGCTCCTTTCTATAACTAACACCTATTTAAAGTCCATAATCATGTTCAGACGGTGGCTTACTGCGACAATGGTATAATCTTTGAACTCCCGGCGGATAATCTCCTGCATCACTTCTTACGTCTCTTGGTCTACGCTCGAGCTGACTTCATCTAGAAGTAGGATTCCTCCGCCTTCTGGGATAGCTGTGTTGCTATTCATTCCTGCTAGGCTCTTCGATAGCATCCGTTTGCGTAGCACGGCCCGGGCAAGACTGAAGAGTTGACGCTGCCATTGGTAGAGTGTGCTAGCCGTCATGTTGGAAGATGACGAACAGAGTGTGTACATAGCACGGCAGTTGCATGTCGCCGGCGGATAATGCCATTAAGTCCAAATACACGACGAAAGACTTGATCTTCGGTATTAGCATCGAGCCCAGAGAAGACGTCGTCAAAGATGAGAAGGTCCGTTTGGAGGTAAAGAGCTCGAGCCAGTGACACACGCTGCCTCTGCCCGCCAGATAATGTGATTCCGTTGCTACCAACATTTGAAGCATCGCCTATGGGGAGCGTCTCAAAGTCAATTCCTAGCATTGTAGCATCAATGATTTCGGCATATCTTTCGGGGTCGAAAAGGGAAAATCCAACGATGTTTTCCTTAATAGTCCCGTTCAAGAGGAATGACGCCTGGTCGCAAAAGCCTCCAGTGGGAGCAGAAAAGTCGATACCTTATGTACTCCCAGTCGATACCTTATCTACACCCGGTCGATATAGTATCGACAACTAAGAATTAATTCGCTTCGCTTACCCTAGTAGGAACGGGTATAGATAAGGTATCTACACCCGGGAGTCGATACCTTATATACACCCGGTCGATACCGTATCGACAACCGATTATATAGGGGAAGTTTTTTTTTAAAAAAAATCTAATCTTTTATAACAGGTTCTATTAGTTTCTAATAGTCGTCTATTTATCTCTATAGCGTTCTTTATAAGGCCTTTTTTTATTAAGTATAGGACGAGTTTTCTCGATTTCGCTCAGTACTTTTACCGGTCCGGTAGCTAGGAATAGACTTTAATAAGAGTTTAGGCTTGTAGATCCTACTACGCACGTACTTCCGAGTACTACCGAGTACTACCTACATATTACTGCCCTTCCCCCGCCCTCTCTTTGCCTACCTGTCGTTCCGACTGTCCCTACCTGTGAGTGTACTTAGTCGTTTTTTGTCCCCCCTCCTGTCCCTACCTATAAGTGTACTTGGTCGTTTTTTTTGTCCCTACCTATAGCCTCTATATATACTTAATTTGAGTAAGTAATTCGAGCCGTAAAAGTGTAGAAATAAGTATAGAAATAAGTATAAAACTACGTAGAAAAAAGTTGTAATTTATTAACAACTTTAGACATTTTAGTAACCATTTATCAACAACCGTTTACAGATAAGGTATCAACAATTATCGAAAGGGTATCTACAACCGAGCGTATACAAAAATGTAGATAAGGTATCGACAACCGGTTGTCGATACCTTATCTACGCCCGCTCTCACTGGGGCCTACGCGGACAAATCGGTTGGCGAGATTGATTTGACCATGGTGATAGGGTATCTCTCCTAAGAGTGATTTGCATAGCGTAGATTTTCCTGATGCGATAGGACCGATGATAACAGTCATTAGTGACCCGGGTATCTGGATGTTAATATCGCGTAATAGCATCTTCCCTTCTTCCCATCCAAAATTACCATCTTTCACCATGATAGCAACCGCCGCTGTAGCCTTCTTAGAAGGTCCGTTCTTCTCACTCATTGGCGATACCTCTCTGCTGTCTCTCAAGGCCCCCCCTTCAATAGACCGGAAGTCTTCATGTTCTTTGCTGTCAAGGAAATCTTGGATACGACCAAGACAAGCGAGAACTGCTACAACTTGTGAGATACCCTGGAATAGCTGCAGGAGTGGATTCGAGAGAAGCAAAAGGTACGAAAGCGAAGTGAAGAGCTTCGTAGCGTCCATATTCTGCTGAGCGATGGCAAAGGTCATAAACGGCGAGACCATAAGTGGTATAACATCAAGTTATTTTAGAGCGGCTACCAAATGGTCCAATCGCTCTGCCTTCTACCCCGAATCTCCAGATTCCTCATGAAAGGCTCGACTACCTCCAAATTCAGACCGACCGATGAACACCATTGAGATTTGTTAATTGCACGCTGGTCGTACGGGGTCGCGATTATCGCGGCTCTCGTCCTAGTCTTATCGCCAGCACAGCCTAGTTTCGTCTTTGGACTCGTTCTTTTGGCTCTAGGATCTGGTTGCAGCAGTGTTACCCGAAGCTTGATGAGTATCTATGTTGATCCAGCACACCGCTCCCGCCTCTTTGGTATTGTTGGCATGGTCGAGGTGATAGGAACCATGTACGCCCAACCTATGCTTGCTGGTCTCTTCTCGTTGGGTATGAAGCTTGGGGGCGGGTGGATGGGGCTGCCGTACTTCGGGTTCACGCTTCTCGCCGTTACTGCTACCCTACTTCTCTTCGTGAAAGTCCCGAAAAAGGCCGAGAACTCGCCATTGGCCGTGGAGAATACGAATAATGAGGTCTAAGTATTCTTAATCCTGTTGGCCGTCGTTGTATAAGTGACGCAAGATACGGCAAAGTAAGGATAACCGATGAAATGTGGAATGTAGTAGACTGAAGTATAGAATGCGAGAAAAAGTACAAACGTTTGTACGGGATTAGATAGAGGTGAGGAATGTAACCGACTTGGAGTACTCTATTGCCTTAATTCGATAAATTCTAAAACTATTCGGGAGGAAATCCACATGTAGCAAGCAGTAGATCCTTACTTGGTTCATCGATTCCTCCTCGAACTGCCCCTCTTTTCATTACCACAGGCGGCGCAAGGCATTTAGAGTTTCTATTCATAAGTTTCGGATGACAAAGCCGAATGTAGTGGTGGGGCGAACCCCTTTTCACGCCAGCCTCGCTAGATAGCTTTTCCGCCTCCGCATCGCTTAGCGGTGCGGAGTGCAACTTTAACCTTGCTGTTTTACCATCTACGATTTAGTATTCAATTTTGTTCATTGAGCAAGCCGATTACATATTTACATCCCGCTGCAATATCTTAGTTGACGATGATTATGATATTTGCTCTAGACTACAACTGCGCCCTTTTCCGACTCCCCCTTTTTACTCCTACTTCGTACCCCTTCCATGTCTCGCACATATTGACAATAACTCTACTCTCACGAGCTATGCAGAAACCTCTTGCGAATAATCCCTCATCCCTATCTTCCCTGATCATTGCATGCTTGCTCTTATGGTCTCCCTCCAGTAGCAATAACAATAGCACAAAACGGTAACCTTAACATCTGCCCGCCAAACCCAGACTTCCCTTAATTTCTGCCATTTGGGTTTCCACCTAGTTTCTTATGCCACTCCCGGACATTAACGTTTTCGACCTTGTAGAAATACTTTTCGCGGTTGGGTTTTGCCCAGGGTCTGTCCGTAACCTTGGACCATTCTTTGAATCCGGTGACGACACTCCGCAAGAATTCCATTAAAGCCCAGGCCCGCATACTGTAGTTTAAAACTCAATATTAATTACAAGCGTTGAAAAAATAGTTAAAAGCACATCGAGAAGCTCAGTGTCAATGTCCATAGTACCACGTCTTAATCCACGTTTCAACTCCCCGAAAGCGACGCCATTGTTGCTAGCCTACTCCTGGATACTATTAGTCTGCTACTAATCATCCCAGAGACCACTGGTGGATGTGATGGCTGTGGTGGCTGTTAGAATAGCCTACCATACACAGGTATAGCTAAGGGGTACAGAAATTTCCTGCTTTACACTCGTTGTAGTAGGTGGAACCTCTAATTATCTGGTTAGTTGCTAATAAAGCCTAGGATAGTTAATTAAGTACAATATTAAATACTTAGACGAGGATTTAGCGAGCATGGATAGCGTATAAGAAAATATATTAGAATAAAAATACTATATATAGCGAGAGAGAGATAAGGTCTTTTTAATACCCGGACTTAGTAGATTACTTCTTTAACTTTTAATAAATACTTATTTCTTAAATACGTTAATTTCGTAGTTCGTTTATATAGGCTATTTTATATAGAGGAAGTAGTTTTTAGAGGGGCGGGAAGTAGGAAAAGAGGAATAATAAGATAAACCGGTACCGGTAAATCTTGAGTATAGTAGATTTAGAAGAAAGGAAAAGAAGGGAAGTATTAATATTATTATTTATTAAAAGCGTTAGGTAGGTAGTATCTAGGTCTAGTCTAGTAGGTCTAGTCTAGTCTAGTTTAGTAAGGTTAGGTTATTAGTCTAGTACCTAGGTATTATAATATAATAATATTATAGGATAGTTAAAATCGTAGGGGTTACTTAGACCTAAAAACTTAAATAACCAGAGAGAGAGAGAGAGAGAGATACGGTATACGGTATATAAGTATAAGTATAAGCTAGAGGAGATATTATACCATGATAGTATTTAGTTAACATTTACCCTTCTAAATTGCCCTACTCCTCTCTCCCCTTCCCCTTCCCCTTCCCCTTCCCCTTCCCCTTCTTCCCTTTTAACAGTACTCTAAAAACCACAGTACCTAACACACTAACACACTAACAGTAACACTAACATAACAGTATAGTATACCTAGGTAGTATAATATATATAATATTACAAATCCAACATCCCTACACTCACATTCCCACTTTCCCATACATATAAACATACATCCTCGCTATGCCTACGCTATAACAACAACACCAAAATCATCAAATCACCAAATCGGCATCCATCCATCCATCCATCCATCCATCCATCCAAAATAAAAAAAGATAAAAAAAAGGATAAATAATAACAGGATAAAAAAATAATCGCCTTCTTCCAAGTGCTATGCTATGCTGATGTGCTGTGCTGTGATATGTGGGTATATTTAAATTCGTCAAACTCTCTCTTTCCTTCTCTCTCTCCCTCTCTCTTACTCCATCAATTGCTTCGACATTATATACATACTCATACAGTCCTGCCTGTGATAACCAACAGAAACTGCTCGAGGGGGAATTATATTGATATGATCGGGTTGTTTGCGAGGGGTTTGCGATGATGGATGAAAATTATTTCAGTTCGTCTTGCAAGTGGGGGGTATTGATTATCATTTAGTTCAATTCAATTCATTGCAATGGGGGATCTCATTCCTGGGTTTCTGCCGATAAGCCCGTGACGGTCCGCTCGTCGAGGTTTGAGGTCGGGTATGAGATCTCGGGGTCTTCGACTTGGATGTCGAGCTAGGAAATGGTCAGGGAAGGGTTTTTATATATGGGAGGGAGGAGGGAATGGAAGATGCAGACTTACATTCATATACCCCGTCCTCCTTAACGGAACGATCTTGGGCGCAATCCCCGTCCCGATATCCCTAGATCTCTTTTCCATCTCGGCATTCCATTCTTCTAGATACATCTCCGCCTTCCTCAGCCTCGATTTCACAGCGGTGAACCCGAGGTCGTCCCATATCCAGCCCGTCAACAATCCCATCGTGGCATCAAAGATGTTCCGGGGACTCCAGGGATTGAATGCTGGGACCAGTTCATGATTTACCTTTTCGATGATGGCGCGGAAATCTTGTTCTGTTACTCCGGCTGGGTCGAGAATTTCGGGATAGAGATTTGAGAAGGTAGGCGCCAAGTCGCCTGCTATCATCCAGTCTCGTCGGATTCGTATTATGCGTGTGGTTTGATATAATTCCGAGTTGAGTGGAACATGTGAATTCATATGTGGAAAGCAGGGATGTAGGGGTCCCCATTCATCTTGCGCCATACCACCTCCTTCCGAACCGATTATGGAGGAACTATCGGACATTGCTTCACCGATTCCATCGTCGTCGATGGATGGATTTGAGCCATTATGTGGCATGTTTGATGTTCCTCCCGGATTATGTATGCCATGGACATCAGGGCCACGTTCGAGGTCGGACATGGCTGCAAAGGTTGGATCGTAGGATATACCAGGCGAAGAAGGTTGATTATTAGAATAACTCTTTCTGAATTCTGTGACGTTGTGTTCAGGTCTTAGATGTCCTTCTGTTCTTTCAGGCGACCTTGGAGAGACTCGCCCTTTCCCTTTATTGGGTTTCCCAGATATATCCGAGGTCGGAGAGTCGTTGTTCCTGCTTCTTGCAAGATCAATACTAACGACACTCCTCGGCAATGAAACCCTATTCGACGCAGCTGAACTACGACCGCTCCTTTCCACCTGCAAACTTGCTCTCGCAGACCCCCGATGCAAACTCTGCCTCTTTTCCGAAACCGACAACAACGGATACGATCCTCCTCCCGTTGCACCTTCTCGCGCCGACTCGAGATCTGGATGAGAAATGGGAATGGCAATTACTGGAGTCGCCTGCTGGTCGGGTCTTTGTCGAGTGGGTATGACACGAGTGGAATTCGAAGGGTTCCACAGTCGCACGGCACTGGGACGTCGAGGTCGAAGACTCGCGAGACTAGAATTATTGGTGCCAACGGTATCTGAGCGATTGCGAAAAGGGGACGGAAAATCGGTATTGGCGCCAACACTCAATGCGTTACGCAGATTCCAGCGCGTATCTTCTGAAACCCTTAATTGGGGTTGTTGGTGCTGGCGCTGGCGCTGACTTTGGGGAGATGAGGTGGTGGATGAGAGCGAGTAGGGAGGTTGGTAGGTTGGGGAAGGGATTTGAGGACGATTGATAGGCGATGTTGGGCCAGCCGCATTGGAAGAAGGCGATAGTGAATGGGAATAGGAAGTGGAAGTTTTAGGCGTGTGGTGAAGATGAGACGCTACGGAGGTTGACGGGTAATGATTATGCGAAGAAGAAGGTCCCGCCTGTGAAGCCGTTGGGGCGTTTGCGACGATTGTCGCGAACGGGGCGGGGAGGTGAAGGGAGGTGAGGGTGAGGGTGAGGGTGAGGGTGTAGGGCTGGAAGGATGACGATGTCGTTTTCTCGAGGGGAGAGACAGTGGTCGACTCGAAGGAATGAGAAGGTCGAGATCCCTCTCTCGATGGTGGTGAGTCGAGGGATACAAGGGCAGCGACACCAGTAGCAGCCTCTGGATGGCGGTGGAGAGGTCGATTGGTGGTGTGCAGGGCCTGGACCGGGGCTGGTTAGGCTTAGGCTTCCCCGTGGGTGCAGGTAGAGGTGCAGGTATAGGCGCAGCGTACAAGTATCGGCGGTAAGACCCCTTTTCGGGCTGCACTGGCTGCACCGGCTGCAGCTGTTTGGACGGGCGTGGCGGAGAGCGACCTTTAGCGAGTGCAGGTGGCTGCCAAGGGGGTGAGGAATTGGAGACCCCAAAGAAAGCCGACGACCTCAAAGCTGTGTGAGATGAAATTAGAAAAACTACCGGTGGGTGTGGCGCTGTCGATGGCGACAACGAGTGCAGATATGATGATGTTGATGATGATGTTGATGATGATGTTGATGATGATGTTGATGATGATGTTGATGATGATGTTGATGTTGATGTTGATGATGATGTTGATGTTGATGTTGATGTTGATGTTGATGTTGATGTTGATGGCGATGGTGAAATGGTCGCAGTTACAAGTGGGGAATTCAAAGTCGAAATAGTGGGTGTTGTCAAAATCTCCATCATTTCTGACGATGCTATGATTCCAACAATTCCAACATGGGGAAATGGCGATTGGTGGATGAATGATTTGTAGAAAAGAGAGGTAAGAGTCGTCAATCATCAATCGTCATTTAGTACAAACAGTGCAAACCAAAATTCCAAAATTTCAAAATCTAAATGGAAATCCCAACCAGGACGGGGGATGAGGCGATGCTATATACAACGGAGCTCCCACGGTACCATGACTTTGAGGCCACAACACTGGACTGGACACGGATATCTTGTGTAATCCGTCTCATCTTGGTCGCGTCACTCAGCTCAAGCGCAAACTCAGGCTCAGGCTCAGGCTCAGGCTCAGGCAACCGGCAACCGGCAACCGGCAACCTTCTGCCCCCTCCCCCTCCTTACTTACGCTTTTCATTTCCTGACTGAGCGCTGAGGCGACAGGCGACCTGCACCGCAAAGCTGGCGGAAGACGCGATGTGCATGCTGGTCCCCTCCAGTCTCCAACTGGCCCCAACCCTATCCAATCCCCACCCCCCAACTACCGTTCCAGGTGCCTCCTTGCGCCAGCCAAACTCTCGCAAGGGGATTCGTATTGATCTCTACAGGCAGAGTCTACCCGCCGTAGGTATGCAAGTCAGCAAAAAAAGAGGTACGACGGAGCGGTAAGGGCGCGCGGTTGTTTGCCCCCTAATACTTGGTATAACAAACTACAATCATCCCATACCATGACACTACACTCTAGTCACTGCGGCTAAGGGGGAGGCGTAACTTCTAACCGTGTCGTCGGTGCCGTCCTGTATTGCTTTGCTTTACCCGTGCGCGCGGCTGCTGTTGGAACCACTCTGTCTCTGTACCACCCAACCAGCGTCATAGCGCATAGAAAGGCAGGCTGTCTTGTCTGTCTCTCTGTTTTTCTTCGTCGCTTCTTCCACCTCGAATTTCCACCGCTTCATGCGAGGGATCCCCGGTCCAGCCAAGTCCCGAGTTTTCGAGTCTGCGAAATCCGGAGTAAAGGTAAGATTTAGTTTTATTTTTCTTGTTCCAACCCAAGAAAATATGATATTTTTAACATTCAGCTCTTTTTATGCTTTTCCTTTCCATTTCCTCTTTGGGCTTCCTCTTCCTCTTTGGGTCTTTCAATATCTTTCATACTCTGCACAATACTGATTTCTGACTTTGATATTTATTTTGTGTTATGTTTGTTTGTTTAGACGACGCTTGGACTGTATGGGATGTGTCTGTTGGCTTGGGATGAACTGGTGTCTGAAGGTGGACGAATTCTAGAGTACGGAGGTGAGGTTATGCTGTGAAGTGTATCCCGGTCGTGAGATGACGCTCTGTTGGCGGTTGGCGGTTAGTTGAGGGGGTCCATGCCTGTCGTATTACCGTAGCCCTAATGATGCGACGACAATCTCCAATCTCCAATCGTAGGGTTGTCGCTTTAGAAGTGTTGTCTGTTGGGTCTCTGTGTTGAGACTCGAGAATGTTGGATTTTTCTTCCTCTCTCCGTACGCGGCACTGCCGCTTAATATGCAAGCCAACATTCCTACTCCCAGCTAAATTTCTCATCGCATCGGGTTTCAACTCAGTACGTAATTTACACTCCCCACGAAGCTACCCTTCCAATCCCCAACTCAAGACTCAAGACTCAATCTTCACATTTCATACATTCATGCACATAACGGGAGATCAAGTGACCACTTCTAATTACCCCAGAGCCTCCTCCCTCCTCTACCTTGTCATCTATCAACAAGTCCCAGTCCCAGTCCAATCCCTAGAAGTGCTAGAGAGAATCACTCTTCTATCATTCGTATGCAAGCTTTTGGAAATTGGATTAACAATTGATGAACAGCTTCTTGCAAGGGTTAGTCATCTGTGAATAACTGTGGCGTGTGATGCAAGGAGGAATATATCACAAGCGACTAAGGATAGTAATCTGCAGTTCAAAGAGGTAAAATCAAAGATTATTACACAAGTCTATAGAGTAATTCACATATTTTTCTTGTATTATTGTTGGTATAACTTGGTGGGATAATAAAGGTACAAAAACAGTTGCAAAAGTAGACAACAAGTACAAAAGTAGTAGTAGTATATGATTAATTGTGTGTTTGCTACGTAGATTCCGGGCGTATATATAGCCCGAAATATCACGTGAATAATCACGTGAATATATCGCAACAATTATCTTTTCCTGAATCATAATATTATGACAAAGTATTAAAGTGTCAGGCGTAAAGTGAAGATCTCGCTAAATATTCGGCTAGATAGCTGCAAAGCTGAGCTGTAAATGGCCGACAGAAGCCGTCATCGCCCTTGGCTCCGGCATCGGCATCGGAGCTCTTCCCCTCCAAAATACAAAGTATCATCCAAAAAAGATGATCTTTGGTTCAACATACACACTTGCACAAAATGGCTACCCATAACATTGTTGTCTTTGGAGGAGACCACTGTGGTCCGGAGGTAAGTACCATAGCTTCCAATCAAAGGAATAATTTGTTCTAACAAAGAATAGGTCATTGCAGAGGCTGTCAAGGTACAATTGAGCTTGTATGCTGATGGCGGGGTGAAGTCACTAATTGAATGTACAGATCTTGAAGGTCATTGAGGGAAAGAGACCAAGCGTTGGCACATTCAACTTCCAAAACCATCTCCTCGGCGGTGTGAGTATTTCTGAAAATTATACAACTTTTTCAATGAATCCAGATCGAGTTCCTTTTCTAATCACTCCCTAGTGTTCAATTGACGCAACCGGAGAACCTCTCACATCCGAAGCTCTCGAAGCTGCAAAAGCCGCAGATGCAGTCCTCCTCGGTGCAATTGGAGGTCCGAAATGGGGAACAGGCAAGGTCAGACCAGAACAAGGTATCCTCGCTCTGCGAAAACAGATGGGCACATATGGAAACCTTCGACCATGCAGTTTCGCATCCGAATCTCTCGTCGACATTTCCCCACTTAAGGCTGATGTCTGCCGAGGTACCAACTTCAACATCATCCGAGAGTTGACTGGTGGAATATACTTTGGAGAGCGGAAAGAAGACGATGGTGACGGAATTGCCTGGGATACCGAACCATACACTCGTCCGGAAATTGAGCGAATTACTAGACTTGGGGCACATCTCGCATTACAACACAACCCCCCATTGAAGGTTTGGAGTTTGGATAAGGCAAATGTTTTGGCTACCAGCAGGCTCTGGCGTAAGGTCGTTTCTGGGGTTATGGCGAAGGAATTCCCGCAATTGGAAATCGGTCACCATTTGATTGATAGTGCCGCTATGCTGATGGTCAAGAATCCAAGAGCTCTAAATGGTATTGTAATTACCAGCAATTTGTTTGGAGATATTATCAGTGATGAGGCGAGCATGATTCCTGGTAGTATTGGTTTGTCACCAAGTGCAAGTTTGTCTGGTCTACCAGATGGAAATGGAAAGTGCAATGGTATCTACGAGCCAATTCACGGTAAGTTTTTTAGCCTCATTAGTATTATTTCTTGTCTAACAGCTACATCAGGATCTGCACCAGACATTTCAGGACAAGGAATTGTCAACCCTGTCGGTACAATCCTTTCCGTTGCAATGATGCTGCAATACTCGCTTCAGCTTCCAAAAGAAGCCAAAGCTGTTGAGGACGCGGTCAGAAATACTATTGAGAACGGTGTCCGAACCAGGGACATTGGAGGAAGCAATTCTACAACCGAGGTTGGAGATGCAGTGGCTGCTGAGCTAGTCAAAATCCTCGCTACTCTTGGTTAGATAATTACTTGTTTCAAGTCTCATATCTGGATCATACGTTTTGGATTTTTACGTTTGTATCTGCATGATATTAGGTAGCTTGATTTATACAAAGAGTATTAATGCAAGGTTTTAGTAACCAAGAATTTCATCTCCTGAATTGCTGTTGGTTCGTTGAGTGTGAATTATATAGCCTTTGAGGGTTCAAGGTGGTGTCAAAGGTTCAGTAATCATTCAAAAGTTGTATATATAACAACGGCTGCCATTCCAGTAGGTGATTCTATCAGACTGCTCGCACTTAATTTCCCATGTATAGATACAAACTCAAATTTATTTCCATATTTCCATACCCAAAAACATGTATTTATATACAAACAAAACTCCCATCCACATACTCCCATGAACATGTCAAACAGTAAATGCAATACATAAGATTCACAAACCACATATCTCTCTTGCCACCTCACAGAATTAGAATGTTGAAAAGTCCAACCTAATGCCGAGATTGGTACCAGATGAGATGGAGCTTTATTGCTCTTCCTCCTCGTCCTCGTCCTCGTCCTCAAGACATGCATTCTCGTAGTCGTCACTATTTTCCAGGAGCGGTAAGATAGCTTCCAAAAGAGCGTCGACGGTCGTTGGTGGGTGATCGGGTCTGTTGTCGTCTTTCTCATGCTCGTCTTGGGGAAGAGAATACTCTGATGCTGAGTATTCCGTCATATTGGAACCCGCGCTGGAGTTTAAACTGGAGTTCATACTGGGGCTCGTACTGGAGTTCATGCTGGAGGTCATACTGGAACTCATATCAGAACCCTCATCATTATCCTCCCGGCTTGTTCTGAAGAAAACATCAACACCTCCATTTGATAAAATGACCCAACTTCTATCATCGTCCTCCTCCTCCATTTCTTGACCATTACCAGACATATCATCATCCATCAACAAAACCGCGAACCGGTTTCGTGCATACACCATCGGCTTAAGGGTCGGCAATTCCTCCTCATCTTCGTCCTCCTCATCGGACACATCATCGTCCAAAGACAAACAGGCAAAAGGATTCTTTGAATACACCAATGGCTCATCTGTCGTACACTCTTCAGGTCTATCCTCGGGACAGCCAGGTGCCACTTTCCAGCCATTAGGGTATCGCTCTGCCAACGTCTCAAGATTCTTCTCACATCTGGCGCGACGTTCAAGTAAACGTTTCGTATCAGGATTTCCATGAATAAATTCTCGGCGTTGATTGAATTTAGACTGGGTTCGTGGACAGCCGGGTGCTGCGCGCCAGCCATTTGGACAGTTTTGTTGCAACATAGCAAGAGTCTTCTCGGACTTTGCCCGTCTCTCATGTGCACAAGCTTCACATTTCTTCTTGCTGATCGGGAATGAAAATGAAAATGAAAACGAAAATGAAGTGACAACCTGCTCTTGACTCGCTTCCCTGAAAGCTGTCATGCTTCTCGTAGAAGAAGTACTTGTAGAGACCAGATAATCCAAAAGCCGATGTCTCTTCCACTCCTTCGCTACACGAATCTGCTCACCCATCCAAAGATTCTGCTCATACTCTGAGCAAATCTCCCTTTGCGGATTAGATTGAAGCACATCGAAGCATCGAGACGAGGGATTCGGGTTCCTGGTTGGGAAGAAGGCTACTCTGAAACCCGGGACCTGGTCGGGATGGCTGTAGGCATGGGTTTTGGTGAGCCATTGCGTGGTCGTTTTCTTGCGGGCGCCTAGTTGGCTTCTGCAGGTGAAGTACTCGGGGGCTTGGTGGGTGTTGTTGAAGGTTGGGTGGGTGGTAGATGACATGGGGGGGAATCTGGGGGTTATTGTGTTAATTTTTGGATTGGATATGAGGGGATTTGAAGGGATCACTGTGACGGTTAGAGGGAAGATGGTATAGGAGTGCTTACGAGAAAGGCATTTTGAAAGCCGTAGAACTTGAAGTATAGTAGAGGTGCCTTAGAGAAAGAGGTCGGGTAGGAGGTAATTGAAAAGTCGGGGAATTATGAAGTTATTGAAGATTTGTAGTAGAGTATATCAAAAGTAAATTAGTAGAGTATATCAAAAGTAAATTGGAAAGAATGTAATCGATGTGAAGATCAAAAAAGAGGGAATCGTTGCTATTTACCTTCTTCCCAGATCCTTAGCGGTATATTCGACCATCAGAAATATGACGTTGCTAAATAAGGCTAATTTTTAGAACTACAACCGTTGAGAACCAAACGCTCCGGCATGATGCTATAGTCGCGAAACCAAAGATTCTAGCGTGGAATGGGAAGGCTGGCTAGAGAACGATACCTATAATTCAAGCCTCAAATTTACTTCTTCCATGAATACAGACTTCCTTGAGCGAGCATTTCGATAAATATAGATCAAACAATTAATGCTACCCCAAATCCGCTCGAACTCTTTTTCTTATTGCTGACAATTATACTCCTACTCGATTGACTGTAAACCCTTAGGACGGCATCAGACATATGTTGCAGAATAATTGTGATGTGATAAAGTGATAAGGTGGAACTAGTACGGCCATCCTATTATGACAACGAAATCAAACAATAAGGAAAGACACATGAATCATGCAAACGAAGAAAATTACAAGATTCTAATTCACTTGAGGGTCATTGGGTTGCAACTTGCTATATTCTACCAAGAATATTTGCCCAAGTGTGCCCATTGCTACTTTAATGCTTTATCCTTCACACAGAGTGGTATAAAACCGATATCAAACGCCTCCAGAAAATGCATCATAAAAATCATTCCTTTAATTCCCGTTACATTCAACCACGCTGCTTCAAGAAGTTGGAGAGATAACCAGAAAGACCCTTTCTATCCGTGGATGTGGTCATCGATTTGATGAAGTCTAAACCATCAATACCCATAGCAGGGAAGAACGATGTTTGAAGGTGTTGGAGGAACATATCGCCAGTCTTGGTGTAGATTGTTTGCTCCAGACCCGCAATTTCATTCAACACCTGCTTGACTTGTGCATCTGTAACAGGGCGGAACTTTGGGTCTTGGAGAACCTCCCAACAGAGAGGATGAAATCGTTCGATAAGGAATCTATCAAAACCAGGAAATGCAGGGCTTGGCGCCTGGGTAGATGGCTGTGGTTGCGGGGAGAGAACCGCAATATTTGGACCACCCCAGAGATCTGCCATCTTATGGAGGACCGAGAAGGCAAGGCGGCTAGCGGCCAAGTTTCCAGTTCCACTACCCACTGTCTTCGCCAAAGTTGTGACCGACAAAATAAGAGGCTCAAAAAATGCCTGATTCGAGTCACTGACTAAAACCGATCCGAGACCTTCATTCAACAGTATTTGCACAAATGTGAGGTATTCTCGTCGGAGTTCGGCAAGCTGAATTTCATCATCTGTTCCGGTGATTGGTTCAGCTAATCCAGCAAACACTCTCTGGAAAAGTGGTGTAAGAAGAGAATCCAGGACAACATATATGTCTTTCTTAAATGCAAACACAACCTGGTCCAACAAGCGAAGGAACATGGCCATCTCATCCTTTGAAGAATTGTGGGACAAGAGACCGTCAATCCAGCGAGGAAGAAGTGGCAGCATCAAAACACCTAAAACTCCGGTGAGTCTCGTGAAAGAAGCTCTAGCTGCAGTTCTAATATCAGATGAGGATCGTAATGATTCCAGGGCAATCAAGATGGCTTCTGCTGCACGAGAAAATTCTTCCGAAATGCTTGTTGGTGGTGTTGCATGGGCTGTGGCCGCATTACCAGGTTGCCAGTCCGAGAATCCATGTGAAAGTGATCCTAATGCCATAATAACGTGATGAATCTGTAGTATGGATTGGGTATCTCCGTTTTTGGCAGCTGGTAAACTTCGTTCAATGTCTGAGAACAAGGGTTCCATAATACTTCTTGCGTAAAGGACTTGTTTCTCAACAGGCGTTGTTGAAGTTGAAGAAATACACCCGATTGCCTCGTAAAGATACAACTGTCCATTAAATGCTGCATCTGCCGAGTGGTCGCTCTCATCAGAAGACATGTCATCTTCAGCACCGTTATCAAGCGGTAATTCAGCTTTGATGGGTAACAAATCGCTAATTGATTGGATCACAGTCTCTGCAACATTGCCCAATTGAGCTCGTAGATGCTTCACAAATCGATGAAATAGATACCATGAGCGGGTACGAACTCGAATATGGTTATGGTGAACGAGTCTGACAAAATGTTCGAGCACCTGAGGTATGTACGTTGATTGGTTTTCGAAGAATGAGTAATATCGAACGCAAATCTCCATGAATTGCAGTTGGATGGCAGGATGTGAGAATGAGGCGATACCTTTCTAGATCAGCATGGGAAAAATATGAGCACCAGATATGAACTTACCGGATTGGACCATTTTTGAGATCATGATAATCAATCTCTCCGCAGCTACACCAGATGGTTGACTCTTGGCATAGAGGCCACCATTAACGAGAGTAAGCTCCCCAAATAGATACATCTCATGCAAAGCCAAATCAAGATATCTCCAATCCATTTGACCACCAGCTTGATCAAAGTTCTGAAACGTATTTCCAACCACATTACTCAATATGTCAATATAGAGATTTTCATCCACAGCAGCCACTGTCTTTTGAAGGATTTGTAATCTCTTTCTCAACTCTTGAAATTCTGCCTCGTCTGTCTGTTCATCTTCATTGCCCCAGTTTGAAGTTTCATCATATCTCATCTTTTGGATGATTGCATTCAAGATAGGTGACAACATGGCGGAATAAGCAGGAGGGAGCGGTTTGGCCTTGCGCAAGAATGTGAGGAGATCGGTAAGAGAAGGTATGACGGTAGAGCATATTTCATCGTACTCATCCGAGAAGAATCGCAGAAGGAGTGGCAAGAAAGTCTGAAGTAATTGCTCTGCTTGCCCACGAGAAGCGTTGTCTACCTGAGTATCCTCCAGGACCTTCACAAGATCAAAGACCACATTATTGACAAGTTTGGCAACAGCTTCTGCTAGATCAGTATCATAACTGGACGTCGTTCGTAAATCATGCAAGGCAGGACTGGCAACAAGTTGAGAAACAACTTCTCCCAAATTCAAGAAAACAATCATGTTAATCTTATCTGAACCCTTCATCTTCTTGGCCACAATTTCCGTAAACGCATCAATTGCAGCATTTCGTACTCTGTCTTCCTCGTGTCCTGGATTTGTGCGACCGGCAAGCTGAAAGAGGAGGTTTAAAGTTGACTGGTTGACAATCAAAGATATGTCTGTCCAACTGACCCATTTTCCAATAATCTTAAGGCACATTTCAACCACGCTATCATTCTGCCCTGTCCACCGTGCCAGAATTTCCTGCCATGAAGTAGCCACTTTCTGAGCATCGCGTGCCCTCAAAGCATCTTTGAGATCAGTGTTACGTTTGGTTTCCGTGGGGCCTCTTGAGACAATGACATCTGCAATCTCATCATGTATAGAACTCAGGATGCGTAGGTACAGCACAACCCCTACAAGACTGTCTCTTGAGCCATTCTGGAGGCTTGTCAAGGCCATGAAGTCGTCCAGAAAGCTTTCCCAGCCTTGCCTATACATTGATGTGAAGAGATACGTGAGGGTCTGGGTGACTTTGTTTTGAATAGCTGGTGGGTCAATTTCGTCCCGGTTGCCAGATGCGTAGGTCCGCCGAATATACTCCATAAGTATCTCCTTGACTCTCTCTAGACTTTGTCCATCTAATTGTTGCGTCTGAATGGCATTGTTGACAATGTCCAAGGAGAACATCCGAACCACGTCGGAACATTTTGGGGTACGGGTAAAAAGGGTGAGGCATGCATCTTGTGCTGCTGGGTTCGATCTGAGCTGATTAAGGAAGTCGTAGGCTTGCTGCTTGAGGCTTCGGTCGGAGGCAGGATCAAATGCAATAGCGACTGCATTCTCAAACTGGCAGAGAGAATGATATCAGTATATGGTGGACAAGTAGATACCCTTCCCGCAGCTCCCCACGTTTTAGTCAGCTTACCTGGGCTTCCATGACTACCTCCCCGGACTCGACGTGCTAAAGTTGGAAGATGTAGCAGAATATGGGGTATTTCCTACTATGCAAGTGGCGGCAAAGTGTGTGGTTGCTGCATAGGTTTCTCATATGCTTAGGACATTGCACTAAAAGCTGCCGAGTCATAAAGGCATAACTTTAGGCGGTGAATAGCTGTGACTGTTTGTAGTTGACGTGGTAGTGGTGAAGATATATGCGCAGAGGAAAAAGTAGATTCTGGTCTCTGGGTCGTCAGTGGTCTGGGACAAGTTGAGAGGTCAAGCGTGCCAAAGTGCTGTTGGTCGGTGAGCTTTTGGAAGACTCAGATGCTCCTCCCCTCCATCCCCCACTACGGTAATTTCGTGGGACGCTGTATAGCACGTGACCATCCACATTCCTTCCTCCACACTTTTGTGAGGGAGTCAACTTTTATTCCTTAACTTTTTGAAAGAGAATATTTCATACACATCAATCAAAAAGTACATCTTTTCACCATTTAAATATATTCTAATTTTGAAACTCAGTCCATTGACTGTAAGCAGCATATGACATATGACATACTATATCTCCAATGCCCACTCTTCTATCTAATCCGGAAAAACTCCATGTGACCGAGTAATCCACCAAAACTTTATGCAACAATGGTCTAGTCTTGTGGATTGGCTAGACTATAGTAAAAACCCCGAAACTCGGCGGAAATTCATATTTTTGCCATTTGATAGGCTCCCGGTGGGCAAGAAAAGTGGCAGAGATTCATTTTGTGACTATAAGCGTAAGATGATTCCAAGTATTGAAATGTTTGAAATATCTAGAATAGTTACCTTCATTACCTTATTGTTTTATATGAATCGTTTTAATAAGTCTAAGTATATAATATAATACAATAGTTCTTAGTTAAGTTAGGCTAAGATAAAAGAACTCCCTCCTACTTTTCTTGTCTACTAGGAGCCAGGAAAGGCTTTCTTTCCTCTTTCCTCTTTACTATAACATTCGCTTATAACCAAATCCTGTTAATAATACTAGAAACTTATCCCCCTAACCAATCCTACAAAAAACCTCACCTGTCGAGGAGAAAACAACCGACTTCCAACGAGTAATAGAAAGCCCTTTCTCCATATATACAAACCTCCAAATCATTTCCGCTCAAAGTTCAAACTGATCTCACAAGTCTCTTCTCAGCACACGCTTTAGTACAAAAGTTAAAAGCTAAGGTATTTACATTTCTTTGAAGAATCCCGCATCAAAGCATTTAAGAAATTCACAAAAGAAAAGTATAGCTATTGACAGATTTGGCATAATATCTTGGACGAATTATAAGAAACACTTTCCACAGTTTACATTAGAACTCTCTGAACAGTAAAAAGCCCCCATATTCCTAAGCATCCAACCTTATTCTCTCCATAATCCACATCTCTCTCAAAGAATTCCTCACACCAAGTAAATATCTTTCCCAGGACTCCTCTGTAAATCCAAGATCCAAAAATCCTAAAATTCCCACCGTCCCAACTCGGGAACAACAGTCAACTTTTTCTAACTGTAGTTTTTAATTACCTTAGCAGAAAGAACCAGCGTTCGGCAACTGGAATTCTATTCTATTGCAGAGAGGAGGTCTGGAAAGTTCTAATCCTCTTATAAGAAGGTCTAGAATTATTCTATTCTATACCCTCGATTCTATGGAAATTCTATAGAGTTTTTCACGTAACACGGAGAAATGTTACTCCGGTCTGGCTAACTAATCAGAAGCCTAGGGTGCGTATTAAGGAATATTAATAGTATTAAAGATTAGAGTCTCATTAACACTACGAATTAACTATTGTTATATCGCCTCTAGATACCCTCTAAGGTAGATAGAGCGCCTCGGTATTATCTTCTAAGCGTGTTTTCTCTAATAGAGGCCGGATTATTATAAAGGAAAGATTAAATATTCGCGGCGAGAACAGATTAATGTATAATTAACTTATTAGGTATAGGTCTAACTTATAGTTAATTAATATTTACTTCTCTTAAATCCTAGGTATTCTCTAATTAGTGATTATATGTTTCGGAATTCTATTCTACCATAGAATTCCAGAGCCTTTTCATTAGAATATTCCATTCCATTTTAAAGGTGCTCTAGAATTATTCCATACAGAATAGAATCGCTAGAATTCTATAGAACCTGTTCCATTTGCCGAACGTTGGAAAGAACTACATCCATATCACCATTCCGTAGATAAAACCGCAGAGCCAAGGAAGCTAAAAGTCTTCTCTAGCTTCAGACATGATAATTCTCTTACCTACCATCTGAAAGGAAAGAAAGAATCTATCAGTATAACCTTTCGTCCCTAAATTCGTTGCATGATACAATGATATATATCAAAAACTTCTCTTTACACCTCGCCCCCTTCTCAGCCCTCTACTATATGCTCACAGATCCTCTATGTTTGATATCCACGCTACTTCCCAAATTGTGTTATTACAATACCATACCAGCACCAACAAACACCACAGAACTTCCACACACACACAATCAAACCAAAATTCCCAACTCCCACAACCCCACCAGAGCCAAGGAACCAAGTGATCAAGAACCAAACCAAACCCAAACCCCTCACTCCCCTTCAAACCCCCACAAACCACAAACCAAACCCCTCACTTTCCACCTACGTAACACAACCCCACCCAAAATCCCCCTAAAATAACCCAACAACACCAACTCTTACTCCAAAAACGAAATCCCAAGTCCATAAACCTTCAAGTCCTCCCAGGAAAGCACCAAAGGCATCTGGGATGTTCACCAATCAATCAATCACCCAGCCTACGCCAGAAAACACTCACCTCTCTCTCTCCCTCTCCCTCCCCATCCCCCTTCCCATAGAATTTACCTAGGCTACTAGGTAGTCAGTCTCCTAACACCACCTCAGCAGACAGACACAGTCAAAACATCAAAACACATGCCAATACCAATTCCACTCTATTTTCCGTCAAAAACAAACAAAACCGCTGTCTCAATGTATATTTAAGATACATTAAAAACCCCACAACCCCGCCTGTACGTATAGCGGTATACAAACAATCTCCCAATTACTTTCAACCGCTTTACAGTTCAGGTCTGCCTAGATCACAACAACATAAAATCATAATCTAAAGCATCGCCTCAACTTACCCATGTATATATCTAGTCCAGAGCAAATCTGCACCATCCATCACAGGACATCGAGAACCCGTTCCAACTTTCTTGACGAATATCATTCTTCATCTCGCAGCAGAAAACAAAGAAATATACAGATACAGAGCGCTCAAGATTGAGATTGAGATTGAGATTTTTTTGGTTCGATGTTTGTTATAACTGATTGGAGATTGTATTCTTCATATACTGTATATTAGGATTAATATATGCCAAGAATGGAAAACATATATGCAACATGCAATCGCTATGCTCCAAAAATCCCAGACTCGAAATCAAGAAAGGCGAAGGTACCGAAGAACAATAGGACAGATGCTTGGTGAGACCAAAAGCCAACAAAACACAACCGTATCCCAAGGGGTATGATTCTGCAATGCGAGAAGGAATCTGCCAACTGAAGGAAAATAACCATATGCTATAGCGAAAAACGTTCCGACATCCACCTTCAGAATTTCAACGAATAGGAAATACCCCTTGGATTGGCGGACGGATTATGATCCTTTCCCATCCATCTTCCAGCCTTCAAATGAAAGACAACCCAATTTTATATCACCCTCCATCCACGATAAAAACTCACATGTGTACTGTACCCCCCCTTCAATCAATTTCCGTCCTTCAAACGCCATAAAATGCAAAGACATCTCTCCATAATCACCAACCATCAACCATCACTCGTAACTTTGAACAACAACAAAATCTCATCGATACATCTCGTTCTCACTTGGTGGAATAAGTTCATAATCGCCCTCTTCCGGAAATACGAACGCGGATAAGGATATAAAGCCCGCCGAAAGGATCGCAATACTCCAGCTAACAGTGACAAGAATAAAACTCTTGTCGAGCTGCCAGCCAACGAAAAATCGATCATCGTTGTCAAACAAGTAGGCCTGTCACCAAACCCACACACATTAGCACGAATAGCCCCAACACTGTAGAACGGCAATTCTCGTCCACCCCACCAAAAACAAGGAGGTGAACGTGGTGGAACATACCACAATAGCCATACTGGCACACTGCACCACCCCCACCAGTACCAGCAGGAAGGACAAAACCTTCCACCCCGCTTCTCTCTTCTGCTTGCCCCCATTGATGACGACCAAATAGGCCACCAGCGTAACCAGCTCCAACACCGCCGCAAAGGACATTAGAAAGCCCACGGATCGCCACATGGAGCAGAAATACCGATCGGTGCCGGAGCAGTCCTCGACTGTGGGGAAGTGGGCACAGCCATGTTCGCTTTCGCAGCTCCGGTGGAGACCGATTACTTTGGTGAAGGTGTGCGAGGGAGAGGAGGGCGTTGAGGGGGCGGTGGTGGTAGTGTAGGTGATCCAGTCGGGAATGAAGATGGATGCAAAGGTCATTGCGGTTGCTGGGCGGACGTGTTAGTCAGTCTCTTGTGGATCGAAGTTGTGCTGTACTTGGTGGTATGCGCGAAGGCCAAGGGAAGCTGGTGACGTACCTGCAATGAATGCGACGAGCGCAGCGGAGTAGACGATTACTCGTGTCATTGCGACCCTTCCTTTCCAGTGGACGTCCTTCTCCCCTTTGTTTGCGCTCTGTCGAGAAGGAGGAGGACGACGAGGAGGAAGTTGGTGTTAGGAAGGTAGGAAGGGAGTAGGGTAGGTAGAGCTTATGTGTAGGATAGATTGTTGTGGTGGAGGGGTCGAGGGTTCAAAGGGAAAGGGTAAAATTATGCAGTAGGCAGCTTGCTTGCTTGCCTTGCTTGGTTGAGGTGCAGCGCAGCGTCTCTCTGCCTTGCATAGATTGGCTGGTTGAGCTTGTCACACTCCAGACCTGCCACATTAGTACGTCTGCCGCCTACACATCTAGCGGTGAGTCTAATTTCCCAGCTTAAATACCCCCAACAACCCCGACAATTCCTCCTCTTATCGATGCAAACAACAGAATTCAGCGACTCGTCCAGCTGGGCAGCCAGGATCAACGCAGTCCAGATGCGTCGACAATGGCATTTGGAGAATGGGGTGGTGATGGGAGCATCCTGTCATTGGTGCATCTCGACTTGGCCGTGCACTTATGACGGCATGAAGGGGTCTGCACCTCTTCACGAGACCCACGATGGCCTGCGAGATGATAATATTGCATCTTTCTATTGGTTTACACGACACTTCGGGTTGGATTTTCCGTGTAACATGGGGTCTACAAAGACGCTCGTACCACTCAAAAGGAGATCAGTCATATGCGGGGGAGATTGTGTGATAAGGATTCAGATATATAATAAGTATATAAACCAGAGAGTAAGAAGCTGAGGTTGAGACATTGACGAATCTTTGCAACTCATCAACATCCAGCCAGGAATTCTTACAGGTATCCAACCAAAGATGAAGTTTTTATCTAGGAACCTGCTATGAATTCCAGGTTATTCAGGGACACAAACATCCGGTGTGGATTCTCCCTTTTATTATCCGAAGTCTTGTTTGGCGTTCAAGATGCATTCATTGCCCGTCGCCTAGCAATAACGAAAGTCCGAAAGAAAAGAAGAGCCGATTTTGACATAGGAAGACTACTCGGTCTCAAAGGATGTGTTGAGAACACGAGACTTGATCAATCATGATTCCAAGATTCTGGACCATTCATTAAGCCAACCTGGAGTTCTTTCATTACCTAGGTATATTTCTATCTAGCCGATCTCAAGGATTTCTAAACCTGAGTCAAGCACCACGCGTATGCTTTCAACAGACAACAAGATATTCTATGCGCAATTGGGCGAAGAAAATGGCTGTAGCATTTCTTTTCAGCTCAACCATAAAACAGCATTCCGTAACTTCTAGTCTTCTAGAAGTACAGAACATGAAAACTACATTATAACTTATACAAGAACCCTCTCTGTCATATGAACTCAGTGTAACGAGAGCAAATCCAATCTCACCGAGCACCAGTGGGTGACAGAATTCGTGGGACAGCACAACTTCTAAATTACGTAATCAAGAACACTATAAATTACTACTATTCAAACTTTTATTACCACTTCGCAGTCTTTATAGGCTTCCCACTCGTTTTAACTAGTAATTTACATC